TGGATTAAAAGATGGTAGTGATAATGCGTTAAATAAGTTAAATGATATTCAATCTCAACTTATTCCCCAAAAACAAGCAAAAGATCCTAAGGGATTAACTATACTCTTTGACATTATTGGGGTAGTAATTACATTACCTTTAGTACAACTTGGACCGATGGCTGTTGAAGCCTTTGCTATTGAAGCTACAGAAGAAGTTGAGGTTGCAGCAGTTGCAGAATTAGAAAGTGCTTCTGCTGAAGTATCCAGTGAAGTAAGTCAAGTCGATAACATAGATGACTATTTCGAACTTGCCCGTGAAACTAGAGGAAGAGGTGTAGATGCACTCGATAGAGGAGATGTTCAAACTGCTATACATCAAATGGAAAAATCAAGAAAATATGTAGATGAGATTGAATCTTATATAGTTGAGAACCATCTTCCTGAGATAAAAAAATATATGCAGCAACTTTATTTATTTGCAGATGATATTGAAGAGCTTAATGCACGAATAATACAAGATTTTATCAAGGGGGAGAAAAGCCTATTAGAGCAACTTTCAAATCCTACTATGAGACCCACAACATTATCGGAAGATAATTTTTTCACTGCGCTTGATAGAAGAGGACTGATCCCAGGTATGCGAGGTCAACCTTCAGTAAGTAGACCATCGATACGATCTCCCGAGATACAGGAAATGTGGAGCTTAGGTGGTAATGTTCCAAAACCTCAAAATAAAAAAAGGGATGGCTCAAATAGTGATTTAGGAGGAGTGATTAGTCTAGAAAATTTATATATAGAAGAAGTTTTGTATGATATCTCAAAAAATTTAAATCAATCAGCAACGAATTCTGACGAGTTTATAAAACAAATTAACGATTTAGTAGCTTTAGTTAACACGGAATTCAAAAATAAAATAGCTACTCAGCTTAGTGGAAGTGATATTACTGTCTTGAATAATTTTAATAGTCCTAAGTTAAATAATGCTGGTGATTTTGGCAGATCTTTAGCTGCAACACATGTAGAAAGTTTTATTACAGCAAATATAATAAGTTCTATTATGACATCATATGGTGCAGCTATATGTACTAATGATGTTCAAAAAGTATGTTTAAGGACACCATGTCATTGTAATAAGCCTATTGGTGATGGAAATTGTATAATTGCAGGTGGATTTGGACCTAATAATGATTTTTCATATTTAGGATACAAAGATGATCATATAGCTTTAATTTCAAAATGGAGAAAAGTATCTGATATTTGTCAAAATGTTAATGGTTGGAAGTTTGTACATGATAAATGTTGGGGGAGAAGACCAGAGTATTGTGATCAATGTGGATCTTCTCATACCTGTAATAAGAGATCCCTTCAGCAATATTTAAGTTGTACCTGCGGGTAAATTGTTTGTCTAAATTCTTTTTAACACTCATATTTAATTATTTTTTATCACAATTCTTTTTTTAATAATAATAATTGGAAATTTCACATACAGGTAAATTTTCCGCTTAGTTTCAGAAGACAATGTAATAATCTATGTCTTACCAATTAGTGATAATGTAAATTTATCTTAATTAAGAGATTTTAAAATTCTTTTTGAGCAATAATTAAAATTAATTAGTTTATGTTTTTTTGTTTCAAATCCCATTCTATATATATATATATATATATATTATTTCATAACATTATTGCCAATTTTTTTGTAACTCTAGATCTAATAATGTCTGACAAACTATTTTAGCAATGATATGAAATAGTTTTATTAATAAAATTGCAATTGGCAATAAAGAAATTTAATTTGAATAATAAAATATTAAACTCTTTTGACAAGCTTCTTTATAATGACCTCTGGACATTCTGAATCTTAAAGTTGTTCAAAATTACAGATATTCCATTATCATAAGTTTCATTGGTTTATATGAAAACAAATCTTTAATTAACAGCGAACTTCTTCTATTAAATTGTCAGTTTATTAAAGTCAATTCCATAAAATTAACAAGCTCATATAAAAACTAATTTTTAGCTTTGCAATATATTGAATTTAAGTCGATAAATTTATTATTAGTAGTTTCCTTCATCGGACTTGCCAGATACGCAGAAAACAGGAACAACCGTTCAAATACGTAGATGATTCCAATATGGTTACTGTTGTACCCAAACTACTTCTCAATTAGTTGAGGATAACTAAACTAATTTCAGCATTATAATAGCTAAATGCCTTACATTCGAATAAACAGTATCAGGTATATTATATATATTCAAGAGAATTTATGTAATTTGCTTTTATGAAAGAGGTGCACAGTTAAATGTATATAAAGATACAAGTACCGTATAAATCCGAAACAATGCCCACCTGTTCGTTATTTCAAGTACACTCATGTTCATTATTTCGAGTATGTCTATGTGCGTTATTTCGAAATATATGTTAAATAAATAACCCTTAATGTAATAAATATAGTTGCTTGCAAATGGATCTTGAAAAAAACGATTAACACTTTTCGAATGCAATCTATATGCAATTTTTTATCCTTTAAATTAAAGCATCTTGCATTTTATTTATTTGTTTGCTGTACGTTGTGACGGTGAAATGTGACCTAGCTGCAGTTATGTAAACATGATTCAAGCCACATGACTCGGGACCCGAAATGAACCCCTCTAGCTCACCCACAAAATTTTTCCGGCACGTGATTTTAGCCAATTAGATTGAAGGATCAGGTGTAACATGAAAATTACGCCTTTTACAAAAATCGCCAATAACTCGAAATTTTGTTTATAAAACTGCTTTACATGTTCTAACAAAAAAAATTTCTTGCAAAATTTTGGTATAACCTATGCCCATCCCTTGACCTTAATCCTAACCCTAAGATGATATTTATTAATCTTTCGCATATTTGATTGTTTTGTTTTCGCGTATTTGATTGTTTTGATTTTACGTTATACCTGATCTTTCGATCTAATTGGCTAAAATCACGTGCCGGAAAAATTGGGGGTGAGCTACTAGATATCCCGAAATGCAGATTGATCGACAACGCGAAGGCATTTAATAATACTAATTCCTTGAGGCGATACTCCATTGATAACAATAGTAAGGCGTCGCTGGTATTCACATGGTGGGAACTAAAGTCATTGTCATGTAAATGAGTATGAATTGCTTAGCATTAGCCATAGATCCCCCCGATACTCTAAATAGCTATATTACTTATAATGATCTTAATCGTAGTAGCAAAGCCCTAATGTTGTTCATAATGTATAAAAGCTCCTTGATTTCATGTAACAAAAGGTAGCAGATAGAGAATAGGTAAATCAGAATCATATTAAAGACCATCTAACCCAGGGTTCCCAGTGGCAGTTGGATCCTTGGTTCTCGGACCAAATCTTCCACGCCCTCTTTCAAGTAGTCTTCATTTTTGGTTGTTTTTCGACAGTGAAACATTTTTTTAGACGTAGTACCATTTTTCTCTGTCACAACGTACAGTCAACGGCAAAAGTAACACCTGATTTTTTTATTAAACGAAATTGCAACCAAATATATGATTTTTTTTTTCATTGCAATGCCCTCCTTTTTCTCCAATACTGCTTTGACCCTGTCCGGAACTGAGTCTACAGACCTCAAAAAAAACTGACCTATCAAATTTTGGCCACTCTTCCTTTAGGCCGATTTTGAGATCATCTATTTCTCTTGAAAAATCTTGCCGGTCCTTCAATACCTTCCAAAAAATTTTTGATCAGATTAAAGTCAGAAGATCTTGCAGGCCAGTCCAATTTGGGGATTTTTTTGTCTTCAAGTCAATTGGTTACTTTATGTATTGGCACATTGTCTTGTTGAAACATTATTTTTGCACCTACTAACGAACAAGATGCTTTAGCTCTTTCATAATCAGTATCAATATGATTGTTACATGATCTTTGAAAACATTTCTAATATAAATTGTACTCTAAATTAGTTTGAATATATTTAAAATAAAAACTGGTTAATTATAAAAAATTCATTGATATCGATATTGTATAATTCAACCCATACAAATTTTGGAACATCAAAAATTTTACGTGATTTCTATCATAAATTTGTATCAAGCATAACCAGTATCAGATATGATTATACATAATATTCGTTAAAACTATTTGCATTACCTTTGAAGTAAAATAACACACGACACTAATGAATTAAGAAGTTTAGTTACTGGTCTTGGCAGTAGATAATTGTGATTAGACACCGAAATACAAAGAAATGTTTATCTCACAAATCTAGACTGACCCCTTAATGTCTTCGATTAGAGATGTAAACTGAATGTTGAACAGATAATATAAATAATCCACAGGTTACTTTAAACCGATGAATATCCATAGATTTAAAGTTACCTGTGGATTATTTATATTATTTGTCAATCTTCGGTTCACATTACTATCTTCAACAAAGTAAAACTTCATGCACATGCATAAAGTAATATATCACATAACACTAACAAATTCAAAACTTTACAAATTTGTTGACTGACGCCTTAATTAGCTTAACGAAGTAAGTAAAAATTTATGTGAATTCAGTGTAGCAAACAAAATAAACATACATGCAAATTTTCAATATTATAGTTGCAACCAGCTTTTAGCAAGTAATTTCATGAGATTTAGTTGAACAAGTAGATAACTACTTACAGTAATATGAATTATTACTGAACTCAGTAATTTTTTATTTTTGCTTTTTTTTGAATTTCTGCTTGCCAAAGAATTTTTTTAATTTGAGCTTCTGAAATATTTTTCAAATAATTTATGGTAGTTAATAGTTGTGTTTTATCAGTGCACAAATAAATAATTGTCATGGGGATTAATTAAAGCATATATTTCTCTAAATTCTTGCCCAAATAGCTTTTTTGATTAAATGCGCACTATTTTTACTTTGTTCATTCCAGTAATAAAACCTTGCCTCTTCACTTAGCAACGACTCCAACCTTCGATCTCAAGGCACCACTGCATTACAAGTTAAGCTTTTACTTTTAGTTTTTATCTAAGAACAATAGAAGCTGAGATTAGAGGCCTGCATTGGGTCCTGAAGCCTGGCCTGGCCCAGGCCTGCCTGACCTGATTTGCAGGCCGGGCTGGGCCTAATGATTAAATTTTAAAATTGCAGACTAGGCCAAGCTTAAAATTTTATAATTGTGGGCCAGACCAGGCTGGGCCAAGCTAAATTTAATAATTAATTATAATTATAAATTAGATTAAATTATAATTTTTATTTATTAAAATTCTTTTTTAAATTAAAGTTTAATTAAAATCTCTTTGATTATTTTATTTTTTATTTTTTATACCTTTGCAATGTCGTGGAAGGGTGGATTTTTATTAGGTATTTTAGTAGTACATTCTTGATTAATGAGAGTATATATAGCTACACATGCAACTTTTGGTTATCTAATTTAAGTAGTTTGCCCGAAGGTTCTACACTATATGCCATATCTGTAACCTAATTAGAAGATTATCTATTTAAACTCTCTGATGTCTTCCATCCTGCACCACCATCAGAATCACACCAATCTATAACCTCGTGCTGCTTCTTATTGAAGGCCACCCAGATTGATATCTGCTATATTATTTGTGCCCTAATTCTATATATAACTCAGTAGGATTTTTATACTACCAGATTTGCTCTAAAAAGGGTGTAATACATATTCCTAATCTTTCTATATCTTACGCACTTCCAGATTAGACTATGAATACTTTCCCCAACAGCTAAAACTACCACTAGCAGTAAGGTTGAATTATTAAACTACACAATTCTAGTATTTAGTGCTTTTGCAAGGTTTGTTTCGATCCTGATACCCACATCAAGCTAGTTCTTATATTGATCTCTTCCCAACTACCAAACCAGTTAGCCTGACAGTTTATTGTACCTAGGCTTTAAGTGCCTTCCAGTTTTACTTCCTTTGGTTCTTAATTCTGTAGCATAGGTCCTTTTCCTCTGGTGTGACACTTATAACCAGGTTAGTAGACCCTTCTTGCCCTAGAGTTTTCGTCTAGTTAGTTCGCAGTATCATCAAAGATCTTTACTACCCTCTACTCGGGTCTTGCCAAATGGGTTTTAATTATTCTGGTTCCTTGGATTTAGATTGCTCAAGAGCTTTTAATTCATGATGGTAGTACCAAAATTACAGGTTATATACTCAACCGATCATTAAATAATTATTACTAGAACACAGACCTATTTTCTAAAAATGTTTCTGATAGAATTTGAACTCTAAACCTGTCATTTGGGAGGTGACAACTTAACCACTACTCTAAGTCACTATACCCATCTCTTTGATTATTAAAAATAGTATTTTTATAAATTAAATCTAAACTAAACTTTAGTTAAGTTTAAGTTTAATTTGATTTTATACTAGACTTAAACTTTTATATTCAAACTTTTTAATTAAG